TGCGAAAGTTAAACAGTAAAATCTTACGAAAATGCACAGTTTGGTCTTGCATCTTAAACTTGTTGAAAAAAACAGCAAAACTCAAACAAGCCGCCTATTTGATTTTTTTTTTTTAGTACTAAATTTAAACGGCCAGTTGTTAATTAGCAAGTGTGAATGACTGCAGCGCTGACACAACTGTACCACAACATTCAGTTGAAAACATACGTAATGACTTTGCTCCAACTCCAACTAAAAATTCAATTTTATTCGCTTTAAGTGTACGGCAAGTTTGACTTAATACGCTTAACGGTTCCTGAAATTGCTGAAAGCAAAACTGAAAACGCTTATAAAGTGTATTAATTTGTAGCATTTTCCAATAGAAAAAATTCTAAAAGCATCAAAATATACCATAAGCAAAATATACTAAAATCAAGTTTAGAATTTAAATAACAAGCAAAATCTAAATATAAATAATAAATTTGGTTGTTCTTTGTTGATTTAGTTTTTATCTTTCGTACATACATACATGTTTTACTTGTTTTATTTTCAATTTACATATACACATATGTATGTATGTAAAATTATTACCATATGGGTGATTTTTTTACCATGCAGAAATTTTAAATTATAAAAAAATCTGCTACTAGTGATTTTTTATGATATCGCGTAAAAATTTCACAGTCTTTCGGAAATGTTGCATAATAGGTTTTATCTACATCTAACTCCCTTATGACTGCTGTTCGTCCGCGCTGGGGGATATGGCGTTTGTGTTGCATTTTCTAGATTATGTAGCATCCAAACATAAATAATGTATTAAAAAAATAAAGGGCTAACGGTGGTACGCACATATTCACATAGTATGGGCGCATTCCAAAACGTCAACGTCAGTCTCTTTTATTTCTACAGTCTAGTGAGAGGATTAGAAATAAAGGAGACTGACGTTGACGTTTTGGAATGCACCCTTTGTATGCACACACTTACACACTATATACATACGAACATACATATAAGTTGGTTGCATTACAGTACTACATAGAGGAATATTAAAAAAATAAAAAAAACATAAACCACATATAAAACTACGAAACTACAACAAGTGCAAATGCGAAATATATTTGATGATAAAATTAATAAACAAAAAAACAACTATGATTATAATACATTATCTAAACTATATACATGAAAAAAGAAAAACAAATAAAAATAAAAATAAAAATACGATACTAGTAAAAAGAGAAATTACCCAAAAATCCAATAAAATGTAAATGCTGTTATTAATATTTGTTAAACTGTTATATTATATTTACAAACATACAATACATAGTAATGAAATTTGTTTTGCTCTTTTGTAAAATTACTTTTTAAAACATATTTCTGTGTTGATTTCGAAAAATATCAAAAAAAAAAGAGATACTATGTGGGAGCATGGTTAAAAATAAACGAATAATCCAAGGAAAACAAAAACAATAAATCTTAAAACCACATTTGTATGTAGGCAATTGAAGCAAGTATGCATTCAAGTGCATACTCGCATACCTAAATACATACATACATACATACCTTTATATCTATATAAATTTAAATTAAATGTTTTAATGAATTCAAACCCGATTCTCCGAGTGTTTTTTGGAGTTTTATTGTCGATTGTATACAACTAATCGATCGGCTCCTCGTATCCTCGTATTTAAAAATTGCATTACTTATTACCGTCGAGAAAAAAAAGAAGAAAAACTATGTATTAATGAACTTAAATTAAACAAATTTAACGAAATTGTATTGTGCTTACTTTTAAATGTCCCTCAATAAAAGTATTAATTAATTATACCGAAAGAAACGGAATTGACAGTGTTTGTTTCCATTATTTTTATAATTGTAATCTAAATTTAGTTTTAATTAGCCGGTTAATAAATGAAGCAAATCAAAAAGATTCACTTTGGAAAGAAAAATTAGGAATTTCCATATGGAGTTTTATGCCTACATAGATAAGGACTGCGTTTTGTCGCATTTATTTTATACAATACATTTTTTTCAAATTACACAAATTGAATTTTTTTTGTAGTAAATTTTGAAATAAATGTCAGAAAAATACCATTTTAAATATTTTGGCTAAACGCTGTTATTCAGTTAAAAATGGCAAGCGAGTTCGACGTATGTACATTAGGGTGGTCCAAAAATGCATATAAAAAAGTAAAGTCGGAATTCTTATGCTCCCACCCCCTAGGATTCTTCTATACCGAAAAAATATACCCCTATTTTTTTATTTTGAAATCACAAAATATTTAGAGGTCGCTCAAAGCGCGCTAAGTTTTCCATGCGTTTTATATGGGAAAATTACCACTTTTCGTAGAAATGGTATATAGTTCTTAAAAATGAATATTTTTCGATCGGAAAACTTTGCTTCTCTGCAGGAGTTTCCCAATAATAATACCAAATTGTTTATTTGCCCAATTGTTTAGCGATACGATATTGTTTGAGAGAGAATAGCCCCACTGGAAAAATTTAATCATCAGTTCATATAATTGACGTTCAGCCTCATTACGAGAGTCGTATCGAAGGCAAGTCATTTTTCGAGAGTTGAATCGTATCGAAAATTCCATGTCATTGCCTAAAATTGCGACTCGACTAGTGTATTAAAACGGAAAAACTTGGCAGCAGTGCATAGTTTTCGACGATTTTCGTCGTTTATTTATTTCAGCACGACAGTCGACAATGCGGAATATAGCCTAATTTACGACTTACGCAATGAGGCTGATTGTAAAATATTGTGGTGTCCGTGTACGCATGGCATTTTGGATTTTGGTATACCATAGAATATCCCCGAAATATTCAAGTCAACCCAATAACTCAAAAATAGTAAATTTGTACATTCATGTTTCTGGCAAAAGGGGGACGTTATGTACATACACTAAAAATGTGTTCAATCAAATATATACACAACAATCTTACTGCAAGTCCCAACCAGATTCAGTTGCAACCTACAACAAACTAACCGTCTTGGCATTAAAACTTCGCTTAGGCGGCCCCAATTCTTAGGAATCAGCCAATCAAACTACAGTGAATTTTTTTTTTCAAAGGCTGTAAGCAAATGGACAATAGTGGACTTGCCTCAATTCAGAATTCTAGGTGAATAAAGACATTCGAGCAAGTCTAACGGCATATTATAAAGCAAGAGAAATGCTATGTATGTATACAGTGCCGGACAAAAGTATTGGCGCAGAGAATTTTGCCGCAATATATGCAAAGTTTGGTATTCTAATTTATTTTCGATAAAAATATTTATATATAATATTTTTTATAAAAATATAGTTCGTCCTACACCAAAAAAAAAACAAAATCTCTAAACTTTGTGCAAAACTCAAAAAATTCAATAAATTTGCATACTAATTTGCAACTTTCTATTCAGATTTTTTAGCCCATTCAATTTTAGTATAAAAAAATGCAAGTTTGAACTTTCTAAAAAGTTGCGTTGATTTTTGGCAATTTTTTTAGTGGGAAGGTTTTGCTCATTTTCTCCATACAAGAAATAATTGTCGAAGATACTTTATATGGAAGAACCTGAGTGAAAAAAATTGCCAAAAATCAACGCTATTTTTAAGGAAATTCAAACTTGCACTTTGTTGTACTAAAATTAAATGGGCTATAAAACTGCATAGTTAGAATGGTGACAAAGCAATTCTGATTTCAGATTCGAATTCAGCGACCCAAATCTATTAGAAATGGCTTCTCTTAGATAAAATAAACGAGACTATCACAGAATCCATCGTAGCTTCGATTTTCGTGAAATCTACGAAAGTGCTATTACAGAATNAAATTTGAAATTCGTAGAGAGCCTTCACTGAATCCGTTCGTAATGAAGATTCGTACAGATACTCTACGACGAGTTTATGCAGTCAGAACAAAATTTAAAATTACTGAATCCTAAAAATAATGCTGCATTATTGTTAATAATAAATATTTATTATACTCCAAATTTTGGTTATAGTTCGATATGGCTATTTAATGGCTGAATATTTCTTATGAAGCCATCAGTATAACAACAATTTATTAGGAAAAAAACTTAGTTATTTTCATTTCACAAAAATTAGTTTAAAAAATATTTAAATTAATTAAAAATAATATAATTGATCTGGAGTGCATAAGTTAATAATTGTCAAAATTTTTCTTGTTTTAATACACTAGTCGGCTCAAAATTTTAGGCAATGCCATGCAATTTTATATACGACTCGTCTGTCGAAAAACACTCGGCACGTCACTCGCAATGAGGCTGATAAGAATAGCACGCCTCTTTGTTGATATGTTTTGTTTTTTTATTTTAATAACATTTTAAAATCGGATTGTCACGTATAATATGCTTCATTAAAAAAATAATAATAATAATTAATACTTAACAAACAAAATCAAAACTTTACATACTGAGTGTCAAAAAAGTCTGCTAATCTATTTACTGGGAGTATACGTTTTTGCCTTGCATTTATTTAAAGCGATAGAAATAAAGTTAAAAACAAAAGACTTAAGCTGCAAACCAGAGGTTTCTCAATTGTGTTTCCTAATCCACTCTTGGCGCAGCAATGTACAAGCAATTTCGGGCATTCAATGTCAGAAATTTCAATGGCATTTTTAAATGGCATATATTTTTGTCATTTAAATGACTAGTGGCGTTTCGGCAGTTCAAATTTTTTTTAAATAAGTATAATGCTGAATTTCCACTAGGCATTGTAATGACAAAAAATGTATGCCATTTATAAAAATGCCATGTGGAAATGAATTTAATGATCATTTTTTAATGTAATGAAACAATTTTCTTTTAATGCCTGACTTTGTCATTTGTCATTTTTGCCATTTAATGCCTAGTGGAAATCCAGCATAATTTTAATTTTTCGAATATCTGACCTTTGACCCCTTATACATAGTACCTGTAATATAAGTTTGCACAAAAAAAGTTATATACCTTTTAAATAAGAGCAAAAGGCGGGCCACGTCCATATTTTTACTTTTTTAGTTATTTACATACATACCAAAGGTCCAATTTTGAACTTCGAAGGCTCATACTTGATTTCAGAGGGTAACTTCGAAAAACGGAGAAATTACTTTTTTTACTTATGAGTCAATCTCTCCAAAAAAACAATTGGTTTGGTCCAATACTCCGGAAAAAGGTTATTTTGCCGTATAGTGTTATAGTTCAGTTTCAGTACATACTTATTACAGTAAAATCTGCCTAAATCACCTAGCTTGGATACCCTACACTCAGTTTCCTGGCCCCAATAAATATATTATCCTTGCCATTTATCCTTTTAGCGTACACAACCCGCGTAAGTACCTTCGAAGTTAGCATTTCCAGGGGAGGTAGTTAAGCGGATTTTATTGTACATATTTACATATTTAAAATCTTAACTTAACTAAGTTTATCTCAATACTGGGAGCCTCTCAAGAGTTTCCACTTCACTTCAAAACCATATACATACATACATACATACATACATACATACATACATACATACATACATATGAACATAGACTAACTTCAACAAATTATTCATACTTTTAGATTGCATCCTCGTAATTTTGCCCAACAATGTCGGACGAATCGGAAACGCTGTCGAAGAAGACCCGCAAAGCTTCGAGTCCCGCCTTCTCAGATGATGAACACATCGAACCGCCGGCATTCAGTTTGGCTACTTTGGGCCTGCGTCGTGTTGGCTCGGCACCACCGCCCAAGCCGCAACCGCAGCAACCTATACAAATGTTGAACGCACGCGGTATGCCTGCCCGCATACGCAAGCGAAACCGCTTCTTCTTCGATGACGACATCATTAACGATGACAAGCCACTCCGGATGAGTCTCTCACCACGCAAAATGCCACACAAGGCAAGCGTTTCGCCCCATAAAACACCCACCAAGGTTCTGAAGAAACGCACAGGCGTCGTCTCACGTTACATGCGCTCAGATGAGAAGAAAAAAAGCACTGAGGTGACCACTCCGACACGCAGCAGTCACACAAGTGGCGCCAGCTCATCGACAAATACCACTCCCAAATCGAGCACACGCCACAGTGGCATACCAATCGCCTCGAACAGCAGCAGTTCCGGCACAGTGGCACACATTATACCGGCTGATAAGAAGATCGGTCAGAGCATCGGCTTACGTTTGCGCAATTTGTTGAAACTTCCCAAAGCTCATCGCTGGGTAATATTTGAGTGGTTCTATTCGTTTCTCGATAAAGCGCTCTTTGAGGGTGAAAACGATTTTCAAGTATGCTTGTCAGAATCTTTTCCTAATCTATGCACGCGCCAGTTAAATCGAGCCGAGTGGCGGAAAATTCGCGCATTGATGGGCAAACCTCGGCGTTGTTCGCAAGCATTTTTCGAAGAGGAAAGACGTGAGCTTGAAAGCCGCCGCCAAAAGATACGCTACATACAGAGTCGTAGGTCGGGCGACATTAAGGATTTAAACTTCGTTCGTGATTTACCGGAAAAGATACCACTACCGCTGCCCATAGGCACCAAGGTGACGGCACGATTGCGTGTGCCACAAGATGGTATTTTCAGCGGCACCGTAGACGCCTACGATTCGATGAACTCCACATACCGCATTACGTTCGACAGAAGCGGGCTAGGTACACACTCTATACCAGACTTTGAAATCGTCTCGGAGAATTTCCACGAAATGCTTCCTTTGCAGAGCATCACAAGGGACAGTAGGCCTAACTTGATGAGCATATTCAATGGGGTCAGCTCTTCGCCACTGCGCAACATGCGCAACGTCCGATCTGCACTCAACATGAATTTGAACAAGAGTGACCCAGTGCTGGCGCAGGAGGTAATCGAAAGTCCATTCAAGGACCCGGTACTAGGACGCGATAACATCAACGGCTACCCGGTCAAACTGCTGGAGACTCTGGTGCGCTTGAAACGCGCTCTAGCCTCCAAACGTTCCAAACTACAACGCCTCAGCGAAATGAACAACGAAGCGGAATTGAAAGCTTCACAGCAACTCGCAGCCGCACACAATTCAAATTCATCCTCAGATGAGTCGCAAAATACAAATGAGACAGTACCACAGTTGAGCGAAGAATTCCAAAGGCGCTATGCCTCAATTGTCATTTCGATGGAGAAAATGAATCGTGATATGCAGGATTATCTTAATGATGTGCAGGCGTTCGCAGGCGATTTAACACGCGATCCGCAAGTGCAAGCAATGCTCGCCCCCTCATATCTGCGCGAAAAGTGCCGCGAAGCCGCCGAAGATGCAGTGCAGCGCAATAATCAGGGCACAGTAAAAAATAAGACCGTACTGGGCTCATTAAAAACCTTGCAACTGTGCTGCTTGTCGCTTCACATTTGGGCAATGATGGCAATTCGGCTGAAGTTTCGAAAGTGCTCGAAGGTTGCATCGAAGAAGTGCGTTCCAGTTTGTGTGGCGTAAATGTAGAAACCTTTCAGAAAAATGTACAGATTCATTTGCATCATGTGCGCATGCTGGCCGCCAATAATAGTGTGATGATGGGAAACTCAACCATCTCAACAGCCGGCGGACCTGATAGATAAATTTCTGGAGCCGAAAAATACACTTAGAAATATTACTCTACGAAAATGGATGTACGGAACGGAACTGTATAACATTACAAAAATAGTACTAATGAATTAATAATTAACAATATTTTAACAATTACTAGTTTTTTTTATTTAGTTTATTGGTTTTGTTTGTCGATTCTTTTGTGTGTTAATTCTTTTATTTATAAAAAATAAAACATAAACTTAAAATTTCTTAGCGTTCATCACTCTTCTAATCACTTTCCTCCTCATCGTGGTCATCCTCTTCTTCGCTCAGATTGATTGAGCCATTCGATGAGCTCTTTCAGACTCTGACGTAAGCGTGGTGGTCTTCAGCATCGAGTTGATTCATACCATGCAATGATAGCGTCTTCACTTACGAAATCCTTATCATACAAGTAGTGTACAACTTTGGATATCTTGCTGCGAACATATTCGTTCTCCTCATAAATGTCCTAAGCGAAAGAAATAATTAAAATTGCACCTTTAAATAGAATTATGGATACTTCTAATGCCTTTAGGCACTCTAACATGGCGTCTTCGGTTTTTATATAATTCGACATGACTGGTCCCAATTGCTTCAGAACATTGTTGATGGCAACAGAACATTTTGATTTGCGGGCTCTTTGATATCTTGAAGACTGAATATCGCTTTCACCACGTAGAAATTCACTTCCTTGAGTGACATATTATACGCGTACCGAGATGAATTGATTTCCAGGATAAGGAAGTCTGGGTTGGATTTCTCTTGGAAACCTCGAGCCAGTGAATCCATCACTTCCGCCAAAAATACTGCAGCAAAGTAAGATGGGTAGCAATAGCAATAGCAAGAGGTAGTATTAGTGTTAGTAGAAATTTAATAAAACGTAAACGTTTACTATTTGTATCATCGACGAGTGGTGTTACTGAACGGGACTCATCATCATCGCTGCTCGATGTGTAGTCGCTCTCGTCGCAGGTAGTTGGCACTTTAGAAACTTTTGGTATGCCTGTAGCTGCAGCCGGCAGCGCATCATCTTCTGAATCGGATGCATATGTAGGTTGTGTATCTTGTTTATCTTCTATTATGAAGGCTTTCTCTCCCAGCTTCTCCACCAATTCATCTATTGTAATACAAGAAAATGTGTCGCCACTCGCGTCTAAAGAAAGAGCTAACTTACCGTAATCGTCCAAAGCATTTTTTACAATTACATTTTTTAAAGTTTTTCCTGAGGGTATAATGCATTTTGCGCCCACTACAGCACCTTCAGTGAGCACAGTTCCGGCACCAATCTTTGAGCCAAAGCCTATTACACAGCAATCTAACTTGCAGTCATCGGCGACGTTCACACTATCCAAAAGAAAGACATTTGAAAGCACACAATTTTTGCCGATTTTACAGTTTTTGCCAATAACGCTGCAGCTCACTGTTGTGCCTGCTTCTATCTGGCTGCCTGCTTGCACGGCTACATTTTCTCTCAACGTTGCTTTTATCACCGTTGCTTTAGGACTCTTGTATATATTATTTTTTAGATATACATATTGCTGAGCAAGACAATTTAACCCCATGTCGGGAACAAGTGGGTACGCCCAGCGGTTCATTACATCCTGGCTAACCATGCTGTAAGTAAGCCAGTTATTCACCTTCCGTGCATACTGTCCACGCGGCAACAACGAAACATATATACGACTGTCGAGAATTTCCTCGTTAATTAAAATACCACGTACGAAGTCATCTCGTGTTTCGAAATCGAAATTGTCGCTGAATAAAGAAAGCATAGATGGTGACCCGATAGCGATTTGTGGATCAATTAAATTATGCATTAGCGCCATTTCAGAATTATAAAGGAATACTTCCAGCGGCACCTCAAATTGTGACTCCTTGCTATGTAGTCGCAACCTTTGGTGATGATGAAGCCGATTGTTCTGCTGGTCAACAGCAATCATGATTTCGTTGCCTGTACGTACGTTGCATGTGGCGGCCTCTTTAAAGACCAACGTAGCGGCGGCGCCTTTGTCATATTTAACAGTTTTTCTGAAGAGAATGTTAATGGTATAGCAGTTTGATTTGTTTTATAAGTTTGTGCTTATTTACTTGTGTTGCTCAAATATTGGCCGTAAATTTGCATTGGTCACCGTATCCGCGCCGAGCAAAATGAAGTTTCCACGAATCAAAGCCTTCGCATCTAAATCGCGCATAGCATCACCAAAGCAACGACATCCTTCTCCGCCAATCACGTGCACTGTCATGTTTATTGACCATGAACTGAGTGATGCAATACCATTTCTGAAAAATCAGGGATAAATAGCTGTTCGCGCGTTATAAAATGTGCGCCTTACTTGATATGCTCCCGCACACTTTGCAACTGCAGGCTTGAGTAGACGAACACTTCTTCAATGCCACTGCGGTTGAGAGCGTCCAAGGCGTAATCTAATAGTGGCACATTCACCAAAGGCAACAGCGCCTGAAATTTGGAAATAATAATGAAAATTCTGATACGTGGCTGCCCATAGGAACGTTTTTTTTTTGTGACCAAAGATTCTATCTTACCGTTGAATTTTCAGCGGAAAACGGTTGCAGCTGCTCCACATTATTATCCGCAATAAGAATGGCTTGTATGACTTCTTTTTTCTCAAACTGATTCATTTTTAAACAGCATAAATCAAAAAATATTACGGAAAACTACTCTGCGCATGGATAAGAAATTCTTCGAATATATCGATAGCTTCTTTTTGGCGAACCGATAACAATCGTCGAGGTTTTTGATGCTAAAGTAGTTGACACATCGATAAATTGTCGCTAATTCATATATCCTATCTTTATAAAATAAATTGAACAATCCCAATTTCCGGCCTGCGAAATAAAACTTTTATTTAAAGTAATATTATCTCTTTAGAAACATACATATATACACGAGTAAAAATTGGTATACCTTGGTTACCGCTCCACCGATTTCTCCCAAACTTGCCACAGATATTGGCCCTGGTCAGCATATTTTTTTTTTTATCGGACAATAACCACTCCCATATGCAATGTAGCGGTAATTTATAGAAATACGAAATTTTCGATAAATCAGTAACTACTGAAGCGACTTTATTCAAAATTAATGTTTGCAATAATTCTGCGGCAAAAAAAACGTGTATAACAAATTTTTGAAAAATGGCCGTGGCACCGTTCCGTCAATTTTTACCAAACTCGGCACAATTATTGTACTTGTTACATACATAAATCAGTCGGACTAAATTACTCCCACATTTCATATATCGGTAAGTTTCAGAAATACTGAAACTTAGATATATAATTGGAAATTTAAGGACTCACAACAATACCCTGAAAAGAAGAAACATTATTATGAAATTTAGAAAATGGGAGTTTATCTCTTTAAGTCTAACTACTTTCGAAGATGTCTGAAATAGGGGCGAAACCACCCCTACTTACCATGTAACGGTATTTTCGGAAAGGTGAAAAAAATATAAAACTTGTAGTTTGTACTCGGTAATTTTGTCAAAATATTTGAATGAATTTCTAATTGAATTTACCAAATATGAGCTTCTAGTTTAATTATTTAAATGCCATTAAATTTGTGGAATAGGCACAAACGAAAAAAAAATGTCTGTGCCACATCATCCGTGGTATTGCGTTTGGCGGATACCAGGTATTGCGCGCCAACCGACGATATTTAGTAAAGTTTGGTTTACTAATGCGCCTGTAGGTTAGTCTAGCTGACCCGTGAAATCTCACCTAGGGCCAATTTCACAGTGCGTAGTTAACTCAGAATCGACAGTTAACTAGAGATTTTCAGTACAAAATTCTGTAGTTAACTCCCGATTCTGAGTTAACTACGCATTGTGAAATTGGCCCTAGGGGCCAATCTTTCGAAAGTTGGGCCATGGTATAAATAGAAAATGTCCTATTGTCAATGTGATATTCCAGACACCTGACGCAAATTCTTCGGAACCTAGCATATTCCAACGATAATTGAGTATAGGTTTTATGCAACTCTGCAGCTCCTTCGAAAGCTATTACGGGAAGCATTGAATTTGTCATCCTTACGGACAAGGATTTAATGCCTTGTTGCTATTTCACATGATGAATTCTTTTAGCCCTTTAGCTAAAATCTTTTGCACCTTGCTACTTTGCTCCTCTCCGCTCCGAAGCGCTGGTTGTACAGATAATCCGAGAATCTTGAGTGAGGCTCAAATTAGTGGTAAGCAGATTTGTAGCTTTTGCAACCACTACTAATAAATTAAAAACTATTTGCTGTGCAAAAAAATGTATTTGATTTGAAAACTTTCTCGAAGTTATAAAACGTTCTTAACTGGAAACTTTGATTAAACCTCCAAAATTTATATTACTACTTTCGAGCCTCTCATTTTTTGAACTCAGCGGACGTACCCTCTCCAATGGAAAAGCAGGGCGGAGTGTCCAAATACCTCTCTTAGAGCACTCTGCAGAAAACCGATATGTACATATATACAAACGGAAAAAAAGATACGTACAGGGCCAAGATATCGTCGCTATCATGTCAAACTATCGAATGCGAAAATGGGAACTTTTCAGGGGAGCGAAAAACTGTTTTAAAAAATGTTGTTGTCATTAGGAAAAGGTGTGGAACTCTATAGTTTGTTAGAGCCAATATCCTCTGTTTCCAAGAAGACTCGAAACTGGACGATTTGCCAACTTGCGTATCATTCTAAACGAATGCGCAAGGTATCGTAATTGAAAAGGCATTTTCGCACATTCGATAGTTTGACATGGTAGCGACGATTTGATCGGGCGCAATGCGGGAAACAAATGTAGTACCAATATAGGAAACTGAAGAGGGAAGTGAGGCGTTTTTTATTAGAAACTTTTGTGACTTACGAAAGAATTCAGCACATGGAGAGTTTACTTTTCCACCCTGTTGAATGGTAGAAGCAGTGAGAGCACTGAAGGAGATGACGACGAGACCCCAGTCGATGTCGGGGAAAGCTATGTCCCACCGTCTGACTAAGCAAAGTTACGAATATAGATTTCGTGGCTGAAGAAAAAAAAACAAACCTGCTGGAGCTGATGGCCTGCCAGCTGAGGTATGGAAGTCCGACGCATGATGGGCTAAATTTCTTTTTTTTTTGTTAAAATCTAATATAGTGAAAAGGAAAAAAAGGTAGCCCGAACTTTTTTTAAAGGCAAATAAAACGAATTTCAACATTATTTTTTGTAAGTGTTGAAAGAGGTTATATCGAGCCCTAACCGCCAAAATAACGTAAGCGAAATTTTTTTCAAAATTTTCTTTTTGATGCAGGAATGCATCTAGATGCTCTAGGAATATTTCTGCATCAAAAAGAAAATTTTGAAAAAAATGTCGCTTACGTTATTTTAGCGGTTAGGGCTCGATATAATGTTGAGTTCCCTGAGGCTAAATGCTGGTTTAATACCAGCATTGAGCCCGGCTTCACACAATGTCTGATGGCCCCAAAACTGACTCTGGCTCAGGGTCTGGCGTCTTTATCGAATTTAATAGGATAAGCTTCGCCTTTCTCTTGAAGAGTATACTTCGGTCTTCCAGGCTGAGGTAATTGCAATCCTCACGGCCATCGTGGTCCACGACATCTTTTTGGACTGCTGACTGGTCACTTCATGGGGCACAAACACCTGACTGTGATAGGCGTACATGACAACTCCATTTGCCCATCCTGTCTTGAAGGGGATGAGACATGTGCTTCTGATCCGCCTTGAGAGACGAACACCTGAGCTCTTTGACACCCAAAAATCTGCTTAGGTTTATTCATAAATCGTGCGGATTTAAAAGAGATTAAAACGGACATGCTAAATCTCAAAGCCAAAACATGATATCTTTAATTTTTTTGAATTGTAAATTTAATGAAGCTTAATGAAAAACTTGTTAGGATGCCAACAAGCCCTAAATTAGGGGTTCAAATAAGGAGTGAATGGTTTTCAAAATATATGAACCAAAAATTAAAAACACCTAAATATCTACAACCTTACATGTATTGGAATGAAAGAGCTTAGAAAATATAAATTCCGAGAAGTGCATTAAAGCTGCAATTGATGACCAAAAATAACTTAAAAAAAAGCTAAAGTGGAAACAAATACGTACCGTACACGAGTACGAGGTATGTATTCAAAGGCCCAAAGCAAAGCTCATCGTTGATGAGGAATGGCTATGCGTTTTTTTTTGTGCCGGCTTGAATATGAGTAGAGAAAAGCCAAATGGGAAGTGACCAACATTGTGAATTGCAGAACGAAGAGAACTATAGATGGTCAAACGAAGAATAAATACCTCAATGGTGTGAGAGTATTTTTTGTGATACCATCCACGCCAGCGATTTGGTGGTGGAAGAAATGCTGTTTGGCGACAACGCGTATGTACATACATAGCTGCCGCTCGGGCCGCCCAATGTAACCCGAGCTCAGCTCCAGCTTCGCTGTTGATGTCGGTGCTGAAGTTGGTACAAGCTAAGGCCACAAGCTCAGCTCATTCGCTTTTCTGGCTCAGTGTTCAGTTGACGGTTACATTTCAACCCAATCGCAGGTGGAAATTCGGTTGGCGGAAAATATAACCAAATTTACATTAGCACGTACATACATGCATATATACATACAAACATACATATGTATAACAAGAGTAATACATGACAAATACAACGAAAACAACAACAACGACAACAGCAGCTTCGCAAATTGTGATGTGTCTGTTCTGTTGCAACCAGCAGTGAAATAATCGTACATACATATTTACCCCAAACAACATTAAACACCAAACAAAAGCTGTGGTGGATTTCAATGTAAACGAAGCGTATCGAACGCCACCATCGAACGCACATTGCTGCAAATAGCAAATATTTTGACGATGTTGCGGAAATAATTAAAATAACAAAGGTGAATGATAAAAGAGAATAGATACATATGTATGTATTTAAAAACAAAGCAAAATATGTAATTAAAAATTTTCATTGCGAAATTGGGTTAAGCTGAAAAGCCAGGTGCAAAAAAAAAAAAACAACAGAAAATCACATAATTTTATGCAAAAAACTATTGAATTAAATACTTAGAATGCTTTTAGAACGTGAATATATACAAACATATGCATACATGTGATTTTTGTAAAAAGTCGGTTTTGTGCACCAAAGTGACGGCGATTTCAAGAGTAACAAGCTATAAAAACGGCAGCCACCAAAAGCCGCACTAAAAGGCTATAGAATTAAAGTGCATCAAAAATTTGCAAACTGGCTGTGCAACAGTCATTAAAGGCGAACAAGCCATTGATCACCGCGCACCGCGCCACATCAAAGTGTGCAATAAAATGCTTGCAAGTGGACTGAGACTAATTTTTGGAATTCGAGAGGCAATAGTAAAAATGATTGCAAAATGCAATAAAGTTAAAAAATAAGAACACTGAGTTAACCAAACTTAATTCTGAACAAAAACATTAAAACGCAAAATAATTAATTAGAACTCTTTTTAAAAAATATACATATGTACAAACATACATACTTATGTGTGTAGAACTTGCATACTTACATATGTAGTTAACATATGTACATGCCCATGCATGCATTGCAATGTGTAAATAAATGTGTATGTATGTTTGTAAATGCACCCGTTGGCTTAACAAATATTTGCAGAATCAAAACAATCGTTTGTCAGCTTTGGCGTTTTGTCGGATTTTTCTGCACTAACTGTTGAAGGCAATTTCACGCTTTTTAAACAAGCGAGGTAAGCGCCATTTTCCTA